CAAGGGGGGGGGGGGGAGAGAATACAGGAAAGCAAAAGAAACAAAACTCATAGGCAAAGTTGTTTGTTTGAGATAAAAAAAAAAAAAAAGAAACATAATGCCCTGAAATGTCAAAGGCCATCAGTGGACACCTATTCACAACTGCACTGACTGAGCACTCCTAGTGTAGCTGCTAGTCGGACTGATTGTGACACATTCCCATCATTCCCGTTCACTACATGTTAAGTCTCGAGATTTGTTGTACATGTCTTTTAAATGTATGTTACATGTCCTGAGGTTTTGTTGCTTAGGCTCAAATCATGCTCTCATTTAAGGATGGTTGGAGTCTGTCAGGGTTCTTTTTGCCCCTCCTCTTTTCTATCGTTTTCTGTTTACATCTATGATATTGGGGCGCTTAACAGCGAACCGCCAGGCTTCCCGTGCTGTCTCCCTCTGTTGTTTTTTTTTTTTTTTTTGTTTATGTTGCTCTGGACGTGTTGTAACTGGGAAAGTAAATTCCTCGTGTGTTCTACTTATTTGGCCAGTAAATCTGATTCTGTTTGAAAGAGCCTTTATTGACACCCAGGATTTTGACCATTACCTCCAAATTTGCATTTAATGTTGCATTAAAACTACGTAGTCTTGTTGAAAAATTACCTGGACAAACTATTTAGAACTGATTCATCACTGCCATTTGATGTGTTCCCACTGGTGTCATCACCATCACCATCCTTTTCTGGGATCGAGAAAGGAACATTGAGAACCCTGCTTGGCTAGAATGGGGAAGGAAAAAAAAAACAAATCACAGATGACAACACCAACACATTTAAAATGATAAAAACTAAGACCAACATGGTGAAATTCAATTCTCACCAAGCACTGAGATGCAGACGACCTGTTCTGCATCTGTTCTGACGATACATTGAGAATTTCACTTCTGTGAGCAAGAGAAGAGGAAAAAAATGTGACCCTAAATGAAAAGAAGCAGCTTTAAAGGTGGAAGCATCCATTGGCCTTACCCAAAGTTGAAAATGCTTGACAGATGCAATTCACCCGTCCCATCTGATAACCTGTTTCTTTTCTGGAAATCGTTGCCTTTTTTGACAACATCATGTGCAGTACAGTTTAACAATGCTGTCAAAAACACAAGGACAATGAAGAACATTAGTGTCAGATATAATAAAAACATGAAAGGTTTCTATACAACAAATGGGACTGATGTGTTGGATTAGTGAGTGAGTTGTCAAAGAGCGCACTTTTGTATGAAAGCAATACAGTAGCCTCTTGCACGGACTGGAACGAATGCAAGAGTATAACATGCGTAAAGGCAGGATGAACCATAACCACAAATCACTAAGATTTATATATATATATATATATATATATATATATATATATACATACATATATATATACACATATATATACATACATATATATATATACACATATATATACATATATATATACACACACACACACACACACAGTGTTCACCTTTCAAAGGAGAGTGAATACAGTATGTGACTGTGATGTGCATGACAATAAACAAAGACAAGCATCAATTAACTGGACATTGGAATCTTTAAATAATAATGTATATACACAAAATGGAAGGACTACTACCAACTATCATTCTCAACCATGCACAACTTGTTCAAATCTAACAATTAAAAATGTGTTAGATAAATTTGGATGGGTAGCTCAGTAAACTAATTGTTGACACAAAATGAAAAATTCTCACATGGTTCATTTTCCTTGTCATCTGGAGAAAAAAATTGATTTTTCTCTTCCTGCAACCTTTGCAAAGCTGCCTCGAGTAGCTCCTTTGGTTCTGCACCGAGTTCAATTGCATTATGCAGTATGTACATACATCTCTTTGTGTTGCCTGATAATATAACAACAAAACAAAACACACACAAGTAAATATGTCACCTATCATGTGTTAATTCCATCTATGTACTATGAAAATATTTCTACCTTGAGAATGTGCAAACTCTGCATGTGCGATGTGGACAAATGCGAAGTTCTGGCTGTGAGATCTTGCAACACTGAAGTTTGCCTCAGCCTCATTAACGTCTTGAATTCTATGAAGTGAAAAACATACCTTAAATTTTAGAAATACAGTATCATAGTAGTCCTACAGAAAAGAGGAGAAAGCGTTTGCTCGAAATTATAAGAACATCACTCACGCTTTCAACTCTGCAAATCTGACCAACATCCTGGCATAGCTTTCATTTTGACAGTGTAGTCCAAGAGGCATATTCGAAAAAACTTTGGTATAAAAACTGATGAGTCGAGTGAGATGGTTCGGATCAGAGTGTGGGTCCCCTTTCTTCTCGAGGTTTATCATATATGAGAGACAAGCTTCAGATGACTTCAAGCTGATGATCTGGTTAATATTATCAGTGTCATCTGAAAAAACATAAAATCAACAGATCTGATTAAGCCTGTTTGCAGTAAGTGATATGACAACAAGGCATCCAAGTACCTTCATCGAGACGTTTTCTAATCTTGCTGAGCTTTTGACAAACCATGGCAAGTCTCTGCATTCTGTCGTCCGTATGCTCCCCTGCTTCCATCTAAAATGATAGACAAGGACATGTCTGTTCAGATTTAAGAACACCACCACGTATCCCATATCACATTGTACAGTGCATGGTATATGTATTGTTATTTTTGTAATTTTGCTCCGTTTTACTCAGCCGTCTGCAGTAAGGTTGGGATTGCAAATGAGAATGTGTTCTCAACGCTTGGATAAATCGAAGTTTAAATATTAAATGTGTATTCGCTGCATATACTTCAGCTCACAGTACGTTTTCACACAAAGGCATGACTCAAACTCCGTATGCCATTTTCACTTACGCTTCACTTTTTCTAACGAAAGGTAAATTGTGAAAATGTGCCAGCCATTTTCACAATCATATCGACGATCACAAAACGTGATAACCGACAGCCAATTGTAATGGTTTTCCAACTGACAGAGGATAGATAGCATGACCTAGCTCCTCCATAAAACTTTCTAATTTCATTCCAGGACTGATCACGCTACTTTACTTCTATCGGCGCATCGCCTGAGTTTTTTTAACGCTTAAATATAATTATTCGTCTCTCACCGTGCAGATGCCAGGAACGTAAATCCGTTTTTTAATCACAGAAACCGGACGATAGGCTCGCTCTTTCCTCAACTAATAGTTTTCAAATGTTGCACTTCCGTTTGAGTTGCGTGTTGATTGGCTGGTCTGAGCTGACGCTACCAGGCGACGCCTTTGGATTTATTTTAAAACATCACCGACTTATTTTAAAACATCATCAATAATAATAATAATAATAATAATAATAAAAACTATTATTGTTGTTATTGTTGTTATTATTGTTCTTGTTATTATTATAACGATGATGATGATGATGATGGCATAGGTGGCACGGATTGTAACGTATTTAATCTATCAAAACGTGCTGCAATAAGCACTCTGTACCACAATATGTCAATTAAACAAATTTAATCTATCAAAACGTGCTGCGATAAGCACTCTTTACCACAATATGTCAATTAAACAAGCAGATAATACGTATTAATGTTGAACACTGTGGCAAAACCATCGTATCTCCAACACTTTTGGAGTACCTGAAGGCAGCGCACATGCAGTATTTCCTTGTTCCTTTCCTGTGCCTCCACCCAGCTGAGCTCCAAGATGGCAGCTGCGCAAGGGTGATGAGCAACGACTCTTGAGAGTTCGGTCATGAAACAGCATTGGAGTATGTCGATCTTTCGGTCTTTGTGGTGATACGACCAAAATATAATTCCGAGTAAATTCCGTCACAATCAGCAAGACTATTAAGGGATTGTGAAACAAAATGCTTTTCTAAGGGCTAAGCTAGCAAGCAGCAGTCAGCAAGTAAATGAACTTGTCTCGTCAGCAACACAAAAGGAAACATCAGCTTTGCATACGGTAATTTTCGCTTGTGGCTGTATTATTGAACGATCGTTAATAGGGAGAACGCTTGCAGGAGTACAAAAACGTTACATTTTACGAAGGGTTACTTGGTAGAATCTTTGTTACATTCAATTATTTGATATTCCCATTGTTTTACACTACAATAGAATTTTTGAGAGGGGACAGCAAAATCACCTGAGCGCTATCTGATCTAATTCTTTTTTTCCCCACCAGGTATATTTCGTCATGGCCGTCACTCAATTCCGTCTGTTTAAGATCTGCACATGCTTGGCCAGTTTGCTCTCTTTCTTTAAGAGATTGATATGCAGGTAAGTGTTAAGGAAAGCATTTAAACACTCACTTTAAACAAATGCATAGGTATTGTTCTTTACATGATATCTGTAGGTGTTGGGCATCACTTTGAATAGATTTGCCCTTAGTTTATCCGTCATCTATTTGCTACAGCAGGGATGGGCAACTTTTTCATGCTACTGTACTAGGGGCTCATAAAGTACTAACATTTTATAACCAAATGTATGACAAAAATGCTATTTTAAATATGGACAAAATAGATGTACTTAATAGATTTCATTTTCGATAATACATTTTTCACTGTATGTGTAAAAGAGCCACTGTCTAACCCAACAACAAAGTAACTGTAATCATCACATCCGTCATGTTGTTGTAACCACGCTTCCATCGGAAATGGTACGCCAGTCCGTGTATCATCAGTCAGTCCGCCAGTCTCCCAAAAAACATGTCATAGCCCAACAGATGAAAATGATAAAATTACACTATCAATAAATATATCTACATCATACAATGCCAGCCCAAGACCTACTCTACACACCCACACAGATACACTCACAAACATTTGTCAGTGCATGTCAATATGTTGAACTGTAAAAGTACAGTCAGTGGGAGCACACTGTTGGCTGTCTGCAGTTGTTTTCCACCAAAAAGTTTTCATTTACCTTAACCAGAATGCAATCCAAATAGTACACTCCTACTATATGTGAATGCTTGTCATTCTTCTTCTTCTCCTTCTCGGATCATTGGCGGATTACAGCTCTTTGGTGCATACTGCAACATACTATACAGGCAGCACAATGCGTTTCCATATAAAGTCATTGAAGGCAACCCTGCTTATTCAGCCCTGTAAACAACCACATGAGACAGTCTTGAATATAAACCATTTAACCAGGATACTAAATAACACAAAACCACAATGATAAAGTTTATATGCAAATAAATACACATACGTAACATTATAGTTTCAAACAAAGATTGTAGATTTGTGTTGTCATAGCAAAGTGATGTGACATCATCTGGTTGCGCCTTCTCAACCAATCACAGCCAGCCATCACAGTCCCCTCAGACATCCTATTGAAAACAGGAGCACTCACTATCACGCATGAATAGAAAATGCAGTCATGTTGAAGAAACACCTGCAAATAAACACACGAAACAGGTGGGGTATGTTTCTGTCAGTCGTCAGCAAAACTGGTGTCCATCAGTGACAGATTCAGAGGTCCATCGGTACTTGACCCATTTACTGACGATTACACTGACTGGCAAGAACCCATTTCCGTCACTACTTAGTTCGCCATTTTTTTAAAGTTTCCCATCATTCATATATCATTAGCAAAACTGGGAGTTTCAGTGATGGCTGACCCCTGCAGTTTTGGCAGATTGGCACTAGCATATTCACATATTTGCATTTTTTTCCCCTTAGGATTTCTTTGTTGTTGCTTGTTTTTCCCGTGGTTCTCCATTTCCCCCCATTTTTCGTGGAAAATGTGTGAATGTTTGTTTTTTGTTTGTTTTGTTTTTTGTGGGTAGGGGGGTTCTTTTGAGAAAAAAAAACACAGTTGCCCATTCCTGTTCTACAGTATATGGCTTATCTGATTGTTATATAATGTAACTTACAACTCAAAATTCAGGTGTGACTTTACTTTCCCCTTTTTATTGTTCTTACTGTTTGGCAATAAACTAGGAGTGGAAGGGGCCGAAAGCTCAGTGGGGATCAAATAACTCTCCCAACCACAGTGGATTTCTCATCGTCCATACCAAAACAGGTTAGTAGTGAACCGTCTGGAATTAAACAACTCTAAACAGCAACTCTAGCCTTATGAGAAAAAAAAAGAACGGCACTGTATTACCAATTTCTGTTGTAAGAATCTCAATGATTAGGGCCTTTAATGCCAAACTCTGTGGCACTCAGCATGGAAGGTCTGTCTGGGCCAAAATGATCAGCTAAGCGCATCCAGAAAAAAAAAATATATATATCCCAAGCAGAAATTCATTTCAACACCTCAGTTTTCTCTCTGCGCTTTTACGTCTGCACAGCCAGATGTTGAAGAATGGAGTTCCTGGGATGAAGAAGCTCCAACAAGTATTAAGATTGAAGGTGGAAATGGAAATGTTCCCCCTCAACCCACTGAGACTGAGGAGCCTGACTACTTCAAAGACATGACGCCAACAATCAGGAAAACACAGAAGGTATATATCTCTTATCATAGTTATGGAACAAAGAAATCTGTAGTAATTCTTTCTGTTTTCAATTGGCAGTCAAAAATCAAACAAAATTGTGACTGCTCAATATAGATATATTTTTTAATGTAACCCAACCACCCCCCATGTGCTAAATGTCACTTGACCGCAAATGACGATGTTGTTGAACTGATTTGCCCCAAGTAAACTTGTCCGTATGTGGTGTTCCATGTGGACATGAATGAGTTGGAAAGTAATGCGATTGGACAAACAGTGGAGAACCAATTGTTGTGTCTTCCTCCCAAAGAGTCACGTGTTGTTCCTTTAACGACACCTAACTGTCCATGTCATAATTTGTCTGATGGGTTGTAGTCTCGATTGATTATGTCAGCTAACAAGTTAATGAAACCTTACTGATACTAGTTACCACGCCTCCAGATCACAGAAACAAAACGTTTGCATATTACGCTGAGCCTAAAATCAAAACAGAAAAAAAATCTGTCCACTCCCCCGGCGACCCCATTGAAAATGCACAAATTGATACACTGGTACAGAGACCTCATGCTTTTCCTTTATATATTTTTTAAACTTGTTAACTGTTATTTTTAGACTGTCAGACAGTTGATTATGCTAATCAGATAATTTGTTGTTATTTTAACAATTTTGTTGAACATATATAATATTAACATGTTAAAAAAAAACTGTTATTCAAAGTACTAAGAAAAAACAAATTGAACAAACATACAAATAAAACTAAACATCAAACGAGAGCTACAATAGAAAAAGTTAGGCATTGGTCGACCCGGTTATTGAACGAACTTTAGACCTATTTAGATGTATTTTATTCATTCATTCATTTTCCGAGCCGCTTTTTATCCTCACTAGGGTCACGGGGGGTGCTGGAGTGTATCCCAGCTGCCTTCGGGCAGTAGGCGGGGGACACCGTTAACCGGTTGCCAGCCAATCGCAGGGCACACAGAAACGAAAAACCATTCGCGCTCACACCTAGGGACAATTTGGAGTGTTCAATCAGCCTGCCATGCGTGTATTTGGAATGTGGGAGGAAACCGGAGTACCCGGAGAAAACCCACGCAAGCACGGGGAGAAGATGAAAACTCCACACAGGAAGGCCAGAGCTGGAATGGAACTGTGAAGTCGATGTGCTAACCACTCGACTACCGGGCCGCCTATGTAATTTATCTATTTATTTATTTATTTGGGGAGCCATGAGTTTAAAAAAACTAATAAATATGAGTACAAACTGCGAAGCTCACGCAAGCACCGACAAAGACTGTGTGGGCTGTATTTTCAGCACTTCCTTGCTAAGCTGCCAAATTGCCCTTGTCAATTGTGGAAAAGTGGTCTGTGTATGTAGCGTAGGGCTGTCACGATCAAAGAAGCATTCTAGAATCAGTTATCTAAACACCTCTTCCATCGAATAATCGAGTAATGGGCCTTTTAGAAAGTTGGTTATTATGTAAATGTGACCGCACTGTTTCATAGTAGTGGGGCTGACATTCAGAATGGCTCACCTACAGACATAGACAGATAAAATATTGACTTGGCCTTACTCCGTCCTTAAAACCTTTGTTTATAATAGTCTATTATTAATATGTCTCCTTGAATGATATGTTGTCTGACAATTTAATTTTTGTATCATCATTCAGATAATACAGTATAAAATATCTCTCTGGGAATGTCCACAACATATGTCAACTTGCAGCTTTATGTAGAGAGTGAGCCGGTGTATATGAGCAATTCAAAGAAACCTTGAATGCTTTCTGATTGCTGTCTTACGATGTGGCTTGTCTCTGATTTCCACTTTGCAGATAGTGCTAAAGAAAAGGGAGCCTTTGAACTACCTGGTGCCTGATGGCTCGGCAGGTTTCTCCAGCAGACTGGCAGCCTCTCAGGATGTGATGACCTTCTGTCCACCTTCAGTGAGTTATCTTTTGTCATCTGTGAAGTTTCAGGCATGCATTCCGTTTATGACCGAGAAAGACATGATCGTGAAGGCTTTATTTTTGAGTAATATTAGCATTCATTTTATCCTGATGTAAATTCTTGACTAAACACAAGTGAGGTCTTCACCAGGTACAAATCAGGATTTGCTCAGCCCAATATGAATTTTGAGCGCACAAAATCATGCAATTTGTACATTAAAAACTTTAGACCTATTTAGATGTATTTTATTCATTCATTCATTTTCCGAGCCGCTTTTTATCCTCACTAGGGTCACGGGGGGTGCTGGAGTGTATCCCAGCTGCCTTCGGGCAGTAGGCGGGGGACACCGTTAACCGGTTGCCAGCCAATCGCAGGGCACACAGAAACGAAAAACCATTCGCGCTCACACCTAGGGACAATTTGGAGTGTTCAATCAGCCTGCCATGCGTGTATTTGGAATGTGGGAGGAAACCGGAGTACCCGGAGAAAACCCACGCAAGCACGGGGAGAAGATGAAAACTCCACACAGGAAGGCCAGAGCTGGAATGGAACTGTGAAGTCGATGTGCTAACCACTCGACTACCGGGCCGCCTATGTAATTTATCTATTTATTTATTTATTTGGGGAGCCATGAGTTTAAAAAAACTAATAAATATGAGTACAAACTGCGAAGCTCACGCAAGCACCGACAAAGACTGTGTGGGCTGTATTTTCAGCACTTCCTTGCTAAGCTGCCAAATTGCCCTTGTCAATTGTGGAAAAGTGGTCTGTGTATGTAGCGTAGGGCTGTCACGATCAAAGAAGCATTCTAGAATCAGTTATCTAAACACCTCTTCCATCGAATAATCGAGTAATGGGCCTTTTAGAAAGTTGGTTATTATGTAAATGTGACCGCACTGTTTCATAGTAGTGGGGCTGACATTCAGAATGGCTCACCTACAGACATAGACAGATAAAATATTGACTTGGCCTTACTCCGTCCTTAAAACCTTTGTTTATAATAGTCTATTATTAATATGTCTCCTTGAATGATATGTTGTCTGACAATTTAATTTTTGTATCATCATTCAGATAATACAGTATAAAATATCTCTCTGGGAATGTCCACAACATATGTCAACTTGCAGCTTTATGTAGAGAGTGAGCCGGTGTATATGAGCAATTCAAAGAAACCTTGAATGCTTTCTGATTGCTGTCTTACGATGTGGCTTGTCTCTGATTTCCACTTTGCAGATAGTGCTAAAGAAAAGGGAGCCTTTGAACTACCTGGTGCCTGATGGCTCGGCAGGTTTCTCCAGCAGACTGGCAGCCTCTCAGGATGTGATGACCTTCTGTCCACCTTCAGTGAGTTATCTTTTGTCATCTGTGAAGTTTCAGGCATGCATTCCGTTTATGACCGAGAAAGACATGATCGTGAAGGCTTTATTTTTGAGTAATATTAGCATTCATTTTATCCTGATGTAAATTCTTGACTAAACACAAGTGAGGTCTTCACCAGGTACAAATCAGGATTTGCTCAGCCCAATATGAATTTTGAGCGCACAAAATCATGCAATTTGTACATTAAAAACAAAACAGTCTTTATAATGGGATAAAGGATGGTACACATCAGATACACATCATGATGATTTGAATGCCGCCATTTGCTTTAAATGATATTTTCTCAATTCTAGTGATGGGCAAAGTGAAGCCTCATGAACCAATGTGTCATGTGTCAGCCAATGGTTCGTTACTCATTTCATTTATATTCGCTCTTTAAGGACCTACTAAGGACTAAGTGTGTGACTGACTAGATATGAACTTTCACTCTCTGGGTCTATAAATGAATGAACTACCTGACTGACAAACAAACTGAATTTAATAACTAACCCAAGACTTGCGGAGTAAAGGGAATGTTCACGTCTTTTTGAGGAGTGACTTGAAAAGCAGAAAAGCTCTTTTTTTCTGGCAAGGTTTCACCTCTATTTTCTTAATGAACTGGTCCTGTTTGTTAGCGTAAACATGCAGCATGGGTGGTCTGTAGGTATTAATGTGCCAACAGTTTTGCTGTGTGACAGCCAAGTCATATACAGGAGTGTAATTGCATTCTGTTGTGTTTATGCTGTCCGATCCTCATTGGTGCCAATTTATAACTTTGTGCAGGCAGAGCTTGGTGAAATGGACAATTGGCAGGGCGACACCAACGCTTGGGAGGATGAGTCTGACGCCACTTGGGAAGCAGAAGAGGTGCTCAGGTAATGCCATCTTTTACTGTACCATCACGGAGCTGATAGGCAGGTAGTGTCACTCTCTGACCAGCAGATGGCAGCGTTTACCACTACAGTGTATTCTAAAGGGGGAGGCAGAGTGTTGTGTCCTACTCAATCTAGCATGCCTTCATTAATGAAGTATCTGATAATCTGTAAATCCCTGTAACAGACAACAGAAACTGGCTGACAGAGAAAAGCGGTCTATGGAGCAGCAGAGGAAGAAGATGGAGAAAGAGGCTCAGAGGATGATGAAGAAAGAGCAAAAGATGGCTGTTAAGCTTTCGTAACGTTTTGGTAATGCTCAGTTTTGAGCCAGAGGATCTCAAGGGAAAGACACTGAATCAGTCGTGAGTTTATCTTTAAAATCAGCAACCCATCCAAAGTTCTCATGCTGCATTGCTACATTTTCAGGAACCCGTCGTCATCCTGCAGCCATTTCTGTCCGTTTTCGAGCAGCAGCTGTGAATCATTCTTGGGTTCCCTCACAAACACCATCCCCACCCGCCATGTATCGAAGTCATTTGTTCATTCGGAATTTGAATCTCTATATGCCCCCGCTATAATAGGTGTATGTGCTCGTTTGCACAGGTCCTTTTCAAGGTGTGTAAATAAACTCAGATCTGTACTGTACAACCTTTTCATAGAGCATAAGGTGTACACTTGATTTTCTTTGTCTTGTTTTTAACCACAAAAGACAAAGAGGTGTAATTATTTTTAAGAATCACTGTTTATCAGTGACATTGGTCTGCTTGATAATTATTTTTGTATTTATGTTTCTCCTCCAGCAATGACTTGCACTGTTCCTCTGTAAAATTAGTAATTAAAGATAATAGCATACTCTATCCTGTAATTTTAAGCTATGGGTTCCTATGGTAACATCATGGCTACTCACATGAGCTTCAGACTGTAATGGAAAAATATGTGGTCACTCTATTTTTTTTTTATATATATATATAAATTGGTCTTGGATAACTGCAAATACGAATTCCAATAAAGTTGTGACGCATAAAACATAGATTAAAAACGACAATGATTCGCAAACCAATTTCAACCTATATTCAATTGATTACGGGGAAATATTATCTCACTTTGAATTTTATGCCTGCAACATGTTCCTAAAAAGTCGGGACAGGGCCATGTTTTCAAATGTGTTGCATCACCTTTCCTTTTAGCAACACTCACTAAGCGTTTTGGGAAGGGAAGACAGTCCGTAATTGTTGAACCTTCGGAGGTGGAATTCTCTCCCGTTCTTGCTTACAGGACCAGATTGTTACCAGCGCAAAGTTCAAAAGCCTGCATCTGTGATGGGATGAGCGTGTGTTTGGTGCCCACGGCACAGGTAATTCGCACATTGTGTGAAGACAATAGGAACATGTTTACCAATGTGCTTTTACCTTTGCTTTTAACCACACTCAATCAGCATAAATTAGATTTGCTCCAGTTCCCAAATGTTTGAGCAGAGATACAACACATTTTGGAAAATGTTGCAGGCGTGATTTTAAAAATGAGTGAATATTTGACCCGCGTAACCCTCACCACTAAAAAAAAAGTTTTATCAGTTTCAACATTAAATATCTTGTCTTTGCAGTGTATTCGATTCAATAGAAATTGAAAAGGCTTTGCAAGTCATTGTATTCTGTTTTTATTCACGTTTTAGACAGCCCAAATGCATTGGAATTGGGCTTTGTTGGTGATGAGGTAAGAGATCTTTTTCCCGAGCTGTATCACTTATTGTCGTTCCCCTTTGCCTTTCGAGTTTCACTGGCAGCCTTTGTGAGATGGATGTGAAATCAGGGATCGCCTAAGCACACCAGTAATTGTTATACTGCTTTCGTGATAACATTGATCAGGCTTCAACAAAGAAAGCAAGTGTTTAGCGAATTTAGCAGCTTTTGAGAATCGAGCAATAAGAGCCCCGCCTGAACAGTTTGCATGGTACTTTGGTGTGTCAGTTCCGAAACGAAACGGAGTTGTGGTTTATGTATTTTTGTTACATAATACATTTTTTGTTTTGACCATTAAAAAAAAAAAAACTACAACAAAAACAGGACTGTCACGAAAGTCGCCATCCTCAAGTATGCCTTCACAGCTTTTTGAATAAACTCCTATGATTCAGGTGAATAACATGCTTTCTGAATAAACTGGGTTGTAAAGAATGTCTCGCCACAATTCAGCTAACCCCATTCTGTCACAAAAACAAGTCATACAATTTGCAAAGAGCAGCATCGTGTTAACTGCTACACCCAAGAAGTGCAAACATGAACACACTTAACCCTCTGGGTTGTATTCTGTTATGCCGCACTTTTTTTTTTTTTTTTTTAAAGGGTCATCTGTTTTCAAACAAATATGAATTTTAGTTTGCAAGAGTGCGACATAACAAACACGGGGAAAACAAAAGCATAAATGCCTAAATTACAATGAACCCATGTCAACATTGATATATGTCGTGCAATCTCACAATTGATTTAATTATTTAACCAAAATATGTTGTTTTTCTTTATTGCAATGCTACCATCAGGCTTTGCAAGATTTCTGGGTAAAACCTGAAAACTATCTCTGGTTGGCCTTCTTTGAAATTCTGTCTGTGTTGGCCTTGAAAGTCAACTTGGCATCCAGAATAGTTCCTAAATGACGACCTCTCTCCTGTGAGATTGCATCTTGCCGGATAAAACCGCTTTCGAGATGACCTACTTTCAAAACGAGAAAATCAGTCATTGTGCCCAGAAAGACAACTTGTAATGCACAATATTTACTATATTCTTAAGGGTAGTATTTCATCGCACAACTAGCCTCCCTTGTAGGGTGTTACAGCATCCTATAACTCAAGCTTTTGATGCTTGCTGAACTGAGACATTTTCGTTATGTAACGTGAAGATCCCGGGATATGGCAGAGTGTCATGTCGTCATCGGGATTAAATTAAGTGTTACTTCCTTTAGATTTGTCGCATTTTTCTTAAGTACATTTGAATTGCTGTTATATCATGACTTTGAAAAAAAGTGTGGGTAGCTGCAGTTGCATTAACCCAGTTTGTATGCAGATTTACAGCTTCAAAAACAACCACTTGAGTGGAATTAATGCATTTTAGCCTGTTGACTCTTTCCAAGTGAAGGATGTGATAAATGCAGACCGAGAAAGCTTTTATCCAAGGTGAGCAGTCATAGGAACACTGTTTGGGTGAAGCCTGGTGAGCTTCCCTTTATTTTTTAATGTGAACATCTTAAATAAATGAGCATCTTTGCCAACTCTTTTCACGCCTCTTACATAAGTGTGACCAACAGCAGTGCTTTGAGATACTAGTTTAATTTGTTTTGTGACCATATTCATGAGCTCGAAACACCCATATCTCAAATCATCTTTCCCTACTGAAATGAATGGAGAAGCCAGTAATCATTCCAGTACATAAACCCGGCCCCCTCAAAGGGAAAATAGCACTTTATATTGTACTGTCAGTAGAATATAAAAATTGAGCAGGTTTTGCCACCATTTTTGCTTCAATTCAATAGACATTGGTCTGTTTCTTCTGTTATGCACGCCCTGGCCGCCTGGGGGCAATATGATATAGCCTCACAGATACGTGGACAAGGAGCCTGTCAAAACTCCTCAATAAGCAGCAGTTGTATTTGTTATTCTTCATAAAGGATGAACACTATATGCCTGAGTAGTGCTATATTTTTAACGTGAGTTGCTCCTTCAGCCGTTGTGTCAAGGTCGTTATGGCTCTTGGGAATGACTATGAACTACACAAAGAACACTATATGCCTGAGTAATGCTATATTTTTAACGTGTGTTGCTCCTTCAGCCGTTGTGTCAAGGTTGTTATGGCTCTTGGGAATGACTATGAACTACACAAAAAAATGTATTAACAAATAAGTTGTCAACAAAGTGTATTGTGGAATATTTTTTTTAATGTACTGTGCTTGTATTTTTTTCCTAAAATGACAGTGTCATATGATATAGCAGGCTGTATACCGTAATATTTTTTCATAAGCCATGCCATTTTCAGAAAATGGCATGGGCTTAAGCAGGTCGAGAATTGTAAAAGTGCTTGTGGAACCAGCAAGTGGAAACTAATTGTATAATTTAGGCAATGACGTACAGTACAGTAAATATTTTTTTCCAGACATTTTTGTTGTTTTTGGGGTGCAGGGGGCACAATTTCTCACTGGCCTACGGAAGCAAATCTCGCTGTCTGTGAAGGCCTGAATTGTCTCTCACGAAACGGAGTCTCCCAGGTGAAACTCAACTGAGACTACGGATTGGCAAAGTCGACGATTTCGACAATCATCACAAAATCACGGCAGAGTTCGAGGTCAACATATTGAAAGATGATCTTAAAAGGGTTCCGGGCGCAGCCCATCCTGGAAAAGGCACTTTTCATTTGCTGACAATGTTTTCAGAACATGAAGTAGGAACACTACAGTTGTTTGTTTCATGTCTATTAAAATCATTTTCTCTTCATACTCTATACACATATTTGTACTTGACACGTTTATACTGTAATTCATGTTTTTACATCTATAAGAGTTCATACTGTATTATACATTGTAGTTGGCGACCAATTTATTGGAAATGGTTTCAACAAACTCCCGTTATAACGGAAAGCTTCGTTCTGTCCCTCAAGGTACGTTGTAACGAGTTTTGACTACACTGTACATGTTTATAATGTAATTTATGTTTTGCCGTTCAATGTCTGTGTCTCCGTGGGCGTCGTCATTGTAGTGTGGTCAGATTGAAGCTGAACAGTGAAGTCAGCCCAAGCGATCCAACTATGGTGTTTTGGATTGTTCGGAAAATTGACTTCCTGCATCAAAAGCAGCTTTTTGGCGGTTTTAAATACACTGGTAATTCATTCATTTTGACAGTATGCTTCATATGAGGGTGGCAGTAAACATCTTAAAGTCTCTCTTTTGAAGAATATTTATTTTGCCAAAGTGCTGCTTGATGTGAAGTGAGTGAAATTAACTGCCAGGAAAAGAAAAAGATCATTGGAATGACAGCTCGGATCTTGACAAACTTGCAAGTTTGGTCACTCAAATCCCAAGGCACCACTTTAATTTGGTCCAGCACAAACCATTCAAAACCAATATCAGGAGTCCAGGTACTGCATTATCATGCTTTAATAATAAATATACATGGTCATCTGATGCAAACCACAGGTATTGCACGTAGCTCAGGCACATAACTCATTTACTGTGAAGCATCAACTTTAACACTACAAAAGGTTCAACTTAATTAGACTCCACTAAGTGAGGAGGGAAGATACACACTTCACTAAAAATATAACTGTGATTTTACATTAAAGCTTTGACTGAAGAATTAAAGTTGTTTTTTTTTTTACAACTCAAAACATTTCAATACATGTCAAACTGAAACCGATATTCAATCTTTCATTTACGAAAACTCAACTGAATTAGTGTTTTGATTTTTAGCAAGGACAACTTGGGAGCTACAGTAGCTACAAAATGGCAATGAGAAAAACCATCTACCTAGATGATCATCTTATACAGAAACTATAAATAAATTAGACACCCCTGAATAAATATTGCCCTTTCATATTACCATTTCGTTTCAACTCAGGGTAAATATACAGTGCTGGACGCCAAATAGCGGCAATGATTAGGTGTTCATGAAAAGCAAAAAAATAAATACTCTCAAAAATGCTTAAGTGCTTCTAATTCAAAGTGAGCCATGTGCTTGCATGTTGAAAGCCATTACACGTCTGGCTTGTGAGCAATGTGACGAAGAGAGTGCAATCCCATGATGCAACAGCCCCTGATGAGGGCAGCGATGTTGACTGGAGTGCTTTTATCCAGTCCATGTCGCGAGTACAGCCAGGCCACTGTGGGTAAGACAGGAGCTGCGACGGCAACCAGATCCACCAGATAACTGTTGCTCCAGTAATACTTGCCGGTCACACCCAGTCCTGGTGACGAAGGAGGTTTTTCTGCGCTCACATCAAAATCCAGCTCATCCATGAACCGCGGGTTTCCTACCAGTTCTGAGCCGTGCAAGCTAGTGTCAGTAGTGATGACTGCGCTGTCAAGGGGAGCTTTTGTCAGCATGTTGGGTGAGGGAGACATCAAGTCAGGGCGATGTGCAGAAGTGACAGTGGAGGCGGGCAGGTTTGGGAGACCCAGAAGAGAGCTGGAGATGGACAATGACTGCCCTCTATTCCCTCCAAGTCGAAGAAGCTGGTAAAGAAGAACCTGAAGATCTTGTGACATAGGCATGATGTCACTCTGGATTCCCTTATCTTCAGTCTTCTTAAGGGAGTGGCCGGTGATAGCAGCTGGTATAGCTCGTGTGTGTGGAATGGATATTTCCGATAATATGGACATTTCAGGGCCCGTCTCAATCCCAGGTTTCGGCATGCTGGTGGAATCCTGACTGAAATCCACTGCAGTGGACATGAAGACCTGCTCTAAAATGTCTGCTCTGTTGGCCATCTCGTCATTTATTAGCAGCCCGCTATCAGCCATAGCCTCTACCCCTTGATCTCCCAGTTCCATTCCACTCTCTTCATCCCCAACCATCTTCTTCCCACCCCTTTCAGGGCTCTGAAAGATGAATTCCTGTGTGTTTTCTTCTTGAAGGCTGGCACCGCTCTGAGCAAGTTCCATACTTTGCAACAGGGCCTCCAGCTTCCTGTTTTGAATGTTGATGTCGATAAAGTATTTTTGTATTCCCTTATCTTTTTCCATCAGGCTGCTCTTCATGGTTTCCACAACCTGGCGCAGCTGTTTGATTTCCTTACGGGCTTCTTTGAGAGAAAGTTGAGCCTCTACCCGGTGACACTCCTCCTCAATCCAGTCTTCTCTCATTCTGCTGAGCTGGCCCTTGAGATCCTCAATTTCTGCCTCTCTGAAAAACAGAGAAAACACTCACTGTTATGGAAGGAAGCATTTCAAGATTTTCTTGTCAAGACTGCCAACTATCTCACACGAGCCAAAACGAGCACTGTGAAATATTCATACTAAAACTAAATCCGGAAGAAAGTTACACGCAAGACCAAACTTCAGCATTGTTATATCATGATTTTTTTATTGTCTTGTGTAACTATGAAGTCAATGTCAGTTGAGCAGAGCTTCAGGATTTGGTTATGACATTAGATCCACTATAGCACTATTTATGACCACTGACCATCCATGCTTTAAAACCACGCACACACACAAAAAACAAAAACAAAAAAAAACATTGCAAATCACAGTTAAAACAAGCTAGATGCTAACTGACCTGTCATGCACCCTGTTATCAGATTCCAGTAGCTTTGTTTTCAAGTGTCTGATGACCACTTCTTTCTGCTGCAGAGGGGTGAGGTATTGCTCAGGGTTGGGGGGTCTGATTCCATGGTTATCGCCACATGAATGGTAGCGGCTCAAGTTCACTCTCCTGTTGGGCAGAGGAATTAATTCATCCTTAAAATAACAACCACAAACAAACAAAACACACCATAACCAGACATTTATAATTTAAAAAATCACTGCATGCAAAAGGCAATTTGTCTGTCTGAAAGAGTTTGGCTAGGACAGATGTTCACTGAAGCCAGAGAATTACTGTCTGATGGTGGATTACTGGCATGGAGACAAGCGATAGGATACGACTAGTTCATCCAAATACATGCTCAATATAATAGGGCAAAAATCACCTTACTGGTAAAAACCATCTCAACACTAATTCATATGCCCTCTGCATGGTTCTCCAGCAATATTTTTTTTCTCTCCTCCAAGTGTTCAGTTTCCTGGTAACCTGAGACATTTGAGACTTTGACGAAAGTGCTCTGCATCTCTTCCAGACAGAATACAGTGTTGGTCAAACATAAACTACACACTGAAATTGGCAAAAAAAAATATTTTATTGAAACAAATGATATATGTTCTTAATAGATTGGGAAAATTAAAAACTACAGTAGTATATAAGACGATAAGAAAAACAATGTTAGCTGCAATTTGAGCTGGCTCCAACAGTTAAGTGACTGGCCGTCTGGAAGTAAAAAAATAAGGCAGTAGGCAATAAGGAATAAGACAATAAGAAATATTGATGAGTATTGTCCATTTAAAAGATATATTTTTTTCAAAATGACTTCAGTGATTCAAAAATTCAACAAGCAATTTCTAATGCCTCGTTACTTTTCACCAACCACGCAAAAGGAGAAAGCATGTACAAAAGTCACATGTGCTGAAAAAGATGACAAATTTTAAAAAGGTAAGAGTCACTGGAGCATGAGTATCCATATTAAATGTAATAGGGACAGACTTCTATGCTGTGGTACCAATAAAACATGATCACGACAGTTCCATGCGGACAAACTTCTTAAATTATTATTGACCCATGCTGCCATTGAAACCATTCAAGCATTTACTCTAATGTGGCTGTTTGCGCTGCAGCCAGTAGGGTCATCGTCTGGGCTCCACATGCTGACATTTGAACGACTGAATTTGTATTAATCCCCCACACAGCCAAATAATCCCAGTAGTCTGCAGAGGAGGAAACAAAAACCGCCTGAGGCTAATCCAACCACATACACACTAAACAGCCTATGTAATGGATTTGCTTCAATCTCACTCACTCAAAAATACCTTGTCATACAAATAGGAAGAAACTGATAGCTGTAGCGCTAAAACAGGGTGGAAAGATTGCATGTACTATATTTGAGAAATGTGACAATTATTTGAGAGCAGTTGGTAGCGTAGTGAATATCATTGCTGCTTAGATAAAGCGCTGTGTATTCAATTTACCATTTTCACTTCTGGCCTGGGATTAACTTCACAATCAATGTAGGGCATTGATTCATACGAATTCACTGGTAATCAAATACATTTTAAAAATATGTACCTGGATGTGGGGCTGGAGTTACAGCTGCTACTATTGGTTGAGAATGCAGCTCTGGGAAGAGTCCTGTAAGGAGCATATAGCTCGGCATCACGGTTGGAGGACAGGCTCCCTGGTGGTTTGAATACTGGGACCAAGCTGATGTGGGTAATGTGACTTGGTTATCATGAAGCAAATTAATGTAATGTGTAAAAAAAAAAAGAAAAAAAGTCACATCTAACAATTTCAAAACTTGGCAGTGAATAATAATGCCTAAATTGAGATACCTGCGAGAGGGAGTCTTCTTTGCAGATGATTTGGTCAAGCTCTCCCTGGTCTTGAGGCTCCCTGCGCTACTGGAGGAGCTGAAGTCTGCCTCACTTCCTGCATGAGAAGGAATTGGATATTGTTCGCATCTTCTGACAGACAGCCACACACTCACTTAAATTATACCAAATAATGCTTGTTTTGGTTGTCAAGTCTGTGGCAGCCATTAAAAATGACCAACACAAATAAAATACAGGTATATGTAGTCATTAAACTGTGGAGACCAAATATCGTGCCAAATGAATGTACAGTCACATTATGTGAAAAAGGTTCATCCCTATACAAATATAAAACTGTGCAATTCTCAAACGCAACCATGTACAGTTTAAGCATGTCACAGCTGAACTACAATAAAGTCTGCAATCTGCATCACAAAAACAAACTCAGGAGTTGAGCATAACCTCCTTTAGAAATAAAACTATCGGTCAACAACTGATTCACAGGGAATGAAAATACATTTAAGGTGTCCCGATTGCTGAAATGTTGCAGGACTGACACAAAATGATATATTAACAGACACATCTAAGCACAGTTGAAATAATCAGCCATCCACCTGGATATAAAACCTGATCCATACCTGAGAGACACCTCTTGCCATCAAATAAAACCATAGTACTCTGTTCAGTAATGATTGTGTCAAACTAAATGGGCAAAAACTTCCTCCACCACTTTGAGAGTTGGCAAACGGTTTGTGCACATTCACTCAGTCAAGTAACCTCCCACTAATCAGCCTAATTGGCTAAGCACCCCAACTTTTTCCCTCACCCAATCATTTTACTCCCTATCTTTGCCCATGGAGATTTGTGTCCCAAAAGGTATTTGTAGATTCGTGAGAGAGGAATTTTCATTCAGGGAGGGATAAGGAGCCTATTTTCCTGCCCCAAGGTCAAACACTGAGTTGAGTAATGATTCTTTCTTTTATTTTGCAACCGGTTTTGTAAGCTGTTGACACATTTTTGATTTTTTTACAGTTTTATAGTCATCATATGATCAGTACTTGTTTGTCCGCCATGTGTGTGGGTGAGATTGGGAGGATTTTCTATTCGAACACTATATGAGCACAGAAACAAAACAAGGTGTCAACCTTCAACATGGTGCATGCCGTCAATGCATATTCTGGGAGCTTGCTGGCAGAAAGCCTTCTCTTTTGTAAGATTTGATGATAATTGTTTGAAAATTTGTGAGTTTGTGTTCCATATTCTCTTTCTTTACCTCTGGTTTTCATGGCCGACCTCCGCTCCTTCTTGTGCTTCGGCGCACTCCGAGGTTCGCGGCTGCCCTCTGCTACAACTCGTACCCTCTTCACTTTGGCCTTGCACTCAGGAAATGATGGCGAGCTCTGAGCACTCTCCTCTGAGCCTGATGGAGTTTTGGAGGGGGACACAGACTGACTAGTAGGGCAGCCGGTGTCATCTATATTGTAGATAGGCACACAGACAGTAATAACCAAAACCAGACACACGAGAGCATGACCTTAAGCACGCGAGTGCACACACACTCATACGTACACATACTGTATAAGGGGGTCAACTTGGATGAGTATGAATTATACATAAATGACTATGAGAGCTGTTGTATAATGTTGCCTGTTATGCTGTAAGACAGTGGTTCTCAACCACTGGCCCACAGACTGATGCTGAGCCACAAAGACAAAGACCAAAGGACACCCCCCCCCAAAAAAAAAAAAACTCTCTCCACCACAACACGCTCCCAGGAACAACTTCAAAATAAAAGCATACCAAGTAGGTGCTTGATGACCTAATATTCAGGTTGCCCGAATACACACACACACACACACACACACACACACACACACACACACACACACACAGAAACACACGCATGCTGTTTAAAACTGATATTTTGCTTTTTGTCGATTCATTTATATCAATACGTATCATATCGGTCAAAAAACATATAATTATACACCCCAATATATATTATATATTGGTATGTACAATTTGGTACAAAAGTTCTTACCCGAGTAAAAACTGTTGGTGCTGATCGTCCTCTTAGAATGATCTGAGCTGACGTCACACTCTTTGCCCTCCTCTTCTGAGAAAGGTGAGTCTGAAAGAGGCGACCCATTACCCTTCAGCTGGAAGGGATGGAGGACCAGACGTGGGATGCGACTCCGAGGGCTTCCTTTCTGTGGAGACTTCTTTTCCTGTTTCGCGAGAACAAGCTGGATCACGTTCATTCAGTGCCATTTGGTGTAGTCTCTATAAGATGTACTTGCAAACTACATAATGATATCACCTACTTTATAAAAGACTCACCTCATACTCTTGAAATGGCCCCATTGTGTTTCATGTACCGGTAGTATATTCCCACTGATCTAACCTACAAAAAGAAGGATGAGGTGGGAATCAGGAAACAAAGAACACACCCTTTTTCAGATGCATTGCTAAACCCGCCTGTTACAATAACACGCATGCATGCATGCAAACATTCACACACAGTTCACATACAGCCTGGTACAGATGGCACAAGTACAGAGCCAACACATTCTAATTTTAGCACCTTGTGAAAAAAAAAAATCGAGGATTGACACTATACTTTAGAATGTGAAGGACATTTTTATGACATTTCACACTCTTACAACAATCTTTTCTTATGATAACAGTCAGAAAAACGGTATTCAAAACGCTTTGAGGAACTATGTTCCCTAATTTGGTCTCCTTCAGGTATTCATAGCTGAAAGACCGCGGCGAAACATATCAGCCTCCTGTCAGGTGAGGCGCGACCCGTATAATATAATTAGCGATTACTAGACCTAGGATTATATTGAAAAATGTACATTGCATTGATGTGATTGAACATATTTTTTGCACATTGTTGAAATTAAGAGTGGTTTTTAAAAATGAATGAAATCAATATTTCTACACACTGTCCCTTTAAATCAAAATGAAGACCAAAATAGAAATGAACTCTCCTATGGTTAAACTTCACCCCCCCCCCCCCCCCCCCCCCCCACATCTTTAACAAAGAACAACCATTTTTTATTCATGCTTTGGAGCTAAATAATGCAGATTTTCCTCTCATGCTTGAATAAAATGTAAAGTGTCATCACTTCTGGTTTGTTAGCTGCGCTGCCTCTCAGCAGCTTCCCTGAATGGGTCAGTTGCATAAGTGCAGATGTGATGTACTTCTTTTAGTGCTTCAATGATGTCATTGAGCCCAAGCTTTTTGTTCTGCCTGACTCTTATGTGAGATGTTGGGCATATATTTGTTATATTCTTGATCTGTACTAGTACGTATTTGATGATGGCCAAAAGTAAATCCGATTATTTTGTATGTGCACCTCCGGATTATGACATCCTCTTTCTTCAAACCACAAAGGATGGCAAAAATAGAGCAGAGCGCCATGGGATTGAAACTACATTTTTCATTGTGAGATTCTAAAATTGAACCAAGATGTAGGTGGCCTCCATCATATCTTTTAGATTTCAATCTCCTCACAAACCCAAGTGCCATGGTACATGAGCAGATGTCGAGCGGAAGCCCCAAGCAGAGAAAAGCATCCACCCCAGTGCCCTAGCAACAGTCTTAGCAACGAAAGGGAATGCAGAAGAAGGGAGCAATTCCATACACGTTTGCACGGTTTATCAACTTCTGCAACTCATGCTAATACTAATAATACTCATGCATCCTTCATTACCAATGTTGAAATGTGATGTGTGGGTGTGACCAGCTGATCGAATTGGGAGACTTTCACATTCCACATGAACATTACGCCTTTGATATTGCGTGTACCAACTGATTTGCATTTGCACACTGGTTTGTTCCAGGTGTCTATCAAATGCTGTATGGAAGCTCTGCCATACAAGAGGTATAAAACAATTGTCCAATTCATTGTATAACATGGCTGTCGCAGACTATTTGTGAGATGATGAAAAGAAAAATTTGGGGGTAGAGTCACATTCTTGACTGCCCTTAGGTTATTATTGCAACCTCTAAAGACAATTTGGTTCCCCAATGGCATCATTATCTCATTAAGGATCTCATCTTTATGGTAAGCACACGATTGCCAGCTTTCTTAGACAATATGTACCATTCAAACCACTTGATCTACGGTCCCTTGAAGAACTCATCAAGTCAAGTACAACTTTGTCAAATGTGCAGAGGAAATTTCTTCCCTCTTAACCAGACAACAAGACAACAAGAGGAGCCGCTGCGGGTGCCCGCGCCACCATCAAAAGAACAGTTAACATAAAACGACAAAATAATACAACACAACACATAAGACATAGACAGTCGTGCAATCTTAACCATGATGAAAGGACATTTTGATTCACTCCTCTTTCATCTAAAACTGCTTCAAACAACAAAGTGTATGCAGAAAAAGTGGTTGAGATTGCAGGACTGGCTGTCTTCTGTTGTGTTGTATTATTTTGTCATTTTATATTAACTGCTCTTTTGATGGTGGCGCGGCTCCTCAATCTCCTGTGATTGAGACGAATGAAATTTCATCTGTGCTGTGTGTTGCACATGTAGCACATTTGACAATAAAGTTGACTTGAACTTGAATAGGCAACAACCATTTGTGCTCACAGTCACGCATATGGTCAATTTAGAGTGTTCCATTAATCGACCATGCAAGTTTTTGATAGAAGGAAACCGGAGGACCAGGAGAAAGTCCATGCAGGCACGAGGAGAACATGCAAAGTCCACGCAGGAAGGCCAGAGCCGGAATCGAACCCTACACCTCTGCACTGTGAGGCCGACATGCTAACCACTCAACCCCCCCCCCCCAACAACAACAGAAAAAAATATCTATCTACCTTTCTTTCTATTTTTTGGCAGAACAGTATCATCTTTATATTCGATGATATTGTTCTGTTCTGTTCTTTGCAATTCTTCTGAAGGAATTACAAGCAACATGGAACTGGACTTCAAATTATTTGTTCACATTTCAGTCTCCTTGCATAATTCGTCATTCAATTCGTTTTGTTTGAAGCCCCGCCTACAACAAAAGGTGCTATGCCTTTGGAATAAACACAATCATGGTTCGATGTATTTTAGTCAGCTCGCCAAATAATAACATTATTTTCATCGTCATAACAAATAATGACATAACATATTCTCATAGACACTTCCTCCCCCAATACACCTGTTCTTACGTGCGAAGTTTATTTGTTCGGAAACAACCATTCGATGTTACAAACAATGATATAAATGTCGCCAGCAAAAGGCTCTCACCTTATGTGTTGCAGTCTGTGATGCTGTTCAGAAGGGTACGGCGATGTCTGCGGAGCACAAATACACGTCCACTTGCTGGTAGCAGGTTGTGAATGTGTTCTCCAGGACAGATGGGCCCACAGAGAGGACACACACCATTGGACCTCTGACAGTGCGCGCACATTATGACGACCATCCTCGGGGTGTTACATAACGCATTAACTCTTGAGTCACCCATAGCAGTGTAAACTGCCAAGGGACGAAGATGAGCAATATGGGAACGGTACATGTGATCCATTCTAGTGGATCAGCATCAAGGATGGACAAAATAAAGATGGCATAAACGTTTCAAGTTAAGCACACCTAAATATTTTGTGCGCAAATCATGATGGCTCTCCATGGTACTGAACGACGGTTAGCTGGGGGCAGTGCTCGTTTCTTGTAGCTGTTAATAATAAAGATTCACCAACTATTGATTGTGAAATTTAAATCCATTGTCGTGATTCACGTGATACGCCAAGGTTTTGTTTTGGATAGCACTAGGCTGTGAAGCACTGATGACTAAATCAAGCATGTAGAGCTACAGAAAAACATCTAAAATTGCTAGTCTTAGACTATCTGTCCCATCTACTCGATCGTGTGTGTGGGTGCTCATCATTTGAAAGCGAGTATGAGTGGACCGCCATTTGGTTCTTGGGTGATGGGTGGAACTCCGTAACCAAACAAATACGTCACGGATGCCCCCTGCTGGAAGTAACGTGTAATTACTTTTTTCTCCAGTTGACGCGAGCAAGCCCCCTCAACGTAATAGCTGGTCATACATCAATGCATTCACCGATTTTAACATCTCAACCCTTTTTAAAACCCACCCAACGCATGACAAAGGAGAGGATTTTTTTAAAAATGTATTTACTGATCATATAGTTGTGCAACTTGTGTTGTGGTGTAGGTCAGTGATTTCCAACCACAACGCTGTTGGACCTTCGTGTGCCTTGAGTGGTCACCACGTGAATGTATCCAATTTCATTTACTTGGTTCACCAATTATGTATTTACTACAAATATATCGGATTTTTTTTTATATCTCACTATGCAACATGATGACAGAACGAACAATAAAATGCTCTTCCACTAGATGGCAGATGGTAAAAAAAATGTCTATAGTATGATTTAAAACATGTTGACAATTTGTTTGGCGGTGTGCCATGAGTTTTTGGTTATTATCTTTTTCATGTAATCTTTTTTTGGGTGGATGGCTTAATTAGGGATATGGAAACACTCATCCAGATCACCAACATAGACAACACGCCACACACATTCTCATGTACCGGTATATACCTACAAACCACAAGTTTCTGACTGCAACCGTTGCACTTGGGCTGAGCTGTGAGAAAAAAAAAAACATGGTGCCAGAAAAGAAAAAGGAAAAGGAGGAGTATTGTCATTTATGGATGTGCCATACCTACCCGCAATAGGGTGAAATCTGCAATATTCAGCAACCATATAAAAAACATTTTAAATATAGTTTTACGCCCCCCCCCACCCCAACACACACAAACATGAAACACATTCATACAAGATCGCAGAAATAAATGAGTTTCATCCGTAAGGTGTCCAGCATCTCCCGTAGACATTGGCTGAGAAGCTTTGTCATTTGGATTGGACTCAGTGTAAGTCCATTGCTCCTGTATATGAAGATGTGCAAAATAAGATGGCTTGGGCATATGGTTAGAATGTCTACAAAACTTCTCCCTGGTGGGGTATTCCAGACATGACCCAATGGTGGAGTTCTGTTTCTTTTGGTATTTTTATAGTTACGCACAGTTAGAAATGGGAAGTTTGTGCCACTGTGGGCATGAACACAAAATTTACGGCTAATGGAAGCATCTCCTCTCATTTCCTTTAAGTTCAGTGCACAAGAGGTGTACGTACATTTGACAAGGGTGACACAGAAAGTGACTCGCTGGAGTCCAAGCAGGAGATCAAAGTATGCAAAGTACATTTTTAAGGAACTGCAAGCAGACCTTGATGGGTAGATGTTGACCAGGGTGTTCACAGATCACCACTGTGAATTGGGAACTTGGAGACTGCCTTCCAAACTGTTCGTTTGTGTCCACGGTGGATTTAACCCCTGTGCAATGCAGGTACACTTCATGTACACCTGACATGCGTTGTGTTGCAAAAACAAATGCATGCCATGCATGGGTTTTAAACCTGTGGCATGCATTCGTTTTTACAACACAACGCATGTCAGGTGTACATGAAGTGTACCTGCATTGCACAGGGGTTTTTAAACAATACAATAAAGATGATAATATAAAGAATCTGTTCAATGAACTGATTTCTACAATGTTGCAGACGGTTCTAAAATGTCAAATTTATGAAAGATAATATGATGACCACCACAAATATGCATTCACCTCGAACAAATTCACCAAAATGGCACTACACCACCTGCACAACAAGTTCGACCTGGTTCCAGCAGGCATAAATTTCACCCACTAAATTTTCAGGTAAGTCGGGAGCATGTAAAAAAAAAACAGTTACGTTTTTATTTTATTATTATTATTTTAATATGGTGTGTATTTTGTTCCCCTTCACGATTGGGTCCCACTTGGTGTAGATTTTCTTCACACACACACACACACACACACACACACACACACACACACACACACACACACACACACACACACACACACACACAAAACAAACAAACAAAAAAAATAAATAAATAAATTACAACTTTATATTTGAATCCTGAAATGTGTCAACTAATTTCTCTCTACGTTCTACTTCCTTGAGAGGTGAATTTAAGATTTTTAAAAATTAATAAATAGCCATAATCATGAAAAGATTTGACTGTGTGTAGTACCTTCTCTTTCCGCCATAGTCTTATGTTTTAACCCTTTAAGTGCCAAAGTAGCTAAATTGCAACAAGCAACATTTACAATTTGCCTTGATCTCTAACCTTTTTCAAGCTACAACCTTTCGAAATATCAAAACTCAATATTTTATTGAGAAAACCTCTGGCGCCCAAAGGGTTAAGATGAACCTCTATATTTATGTGCATTTAATTGACATTTACATGTATCAGGGCATGTTAAGAGCATGACATGTGCTTACTTACAGTAACAGTAGTTGGCCAACTTGCAGATCAATTCTACCGTGAACGATTAGACACTAGAGGTCGCTAAATCCATTCTAAACGTCTTTGTGCGGTTTCCTGCATGGGACTCTGATGTTTTGAGTTGGCAAGGATCTGTCAGTGCATTCATTTCTGTTAATTAATGGAGTGCTTGATCCCGCTTCATAGCATCCAGATGTCATGCGACTGATCAAATGTTAAGTACGTGCAAATATATTTTGCCATTGTTGCATAATCGACAATGGTTATTTTGAAACGGCTTTATGATCACTAAGAATGTTTTCAACTATCTAGACGTTCAAATCTTATCTAATCTGATCGGATGTGTCCTTGGAGGCTTTAGTCCCCAACGACTACATGATAAAGACCATTATACGAATTTGTAGTCATACTCTGGCTGTACAGCTATATATTTTGGACTGAGACTATTGTTTAATTTTGTAAACTTCAAACACTATGCTTAACCAAGATGAGACTTAAATCATCAAATGCTAATGTCGGTTGATTTTGATGATTTTTCATCCACGCATACGTGTGCGTACATTTCAGGATCTATAAAGAAGACAATAAACAGATGAGTTGCGAAATCACAACAAAAACTTTCCCACATGGATTCCCGGGTCGCTAGTCCGGCCTTTGGCTCCGTGTTTGCAAGTGGATGTCATGAAATTGGGAAGCACCGAGTGACCGTGTGGGCGTGTTCCAATCGGCCTAACAGGCTCTGCTCTTGTGTGGAGTCCCGAGCGCAAAACGCACTTCTAGAGGGCGCAAACCAACTTCACACCCTGAAGCGCAGACCATCTCCGGCTCAGGCGGACCCCTCCGTCCAAGGGAAGGAAACATACTAGTCTCTCGACATTCGACATCTCCCACTCACTCTTCAGCCATGTTTGCATTTCGACTTGTTTCGCTTTATGTGGGCCTGCTTCTCGTTTTCCTCTGGAATATACCATGTTTTCAGTCAGCTGCTATCATCTCTCCCTCTACCCCGAAGAGGAACAGGGGAGCCAGGCTCCCTCATCAGGGCGGACAAAGGTCAACCAAACTCCTAAAAGACATCTTCGCCTCTTCCCATCATATGATGACCCAGCACAAAGAAGACCTTAAGGACGATATCGTGCCGCACGAGTACATGCTCTCTATTTACAGGACGTACTCTGCAGCGGAGAAGCTCGGGCTAAACGCGAGCTTTTTCCGTTCCTCTAAATCTGCCAACACCATAACAAGTTTCGTGGACAGAGGAACAGGTTGGTTTGGGGCCGCGGCCAACAGTCACATCAATCTTGCAAAACTTTTTTTTTTTGGGGGGGGGGGTAACCTGGCGTAAAGAAAGAAAAAAACGTCATGGAGTGCAAATTAGGAAAATGAACGATTCATACAGTCGGTATTAAATAAGGCGATGCGGATACATGTTATTCTCACACTCTCAAAACGTGTGACTTTTCCGCTTAGGCTTTCGCTGTAGGTACTACACTTAACCCCTGGGTAACACGACAGTAAAACACTAATTGAGAAGGTCTCTATACGAAGGTTGTAAATCAGTGTCAGTGCAGGCATAAAAAAGCTCCACGTGAATAGAAAACTTTCCCCTCAGTTATAGTCGGCAATACCACAACACTTGTGTTTTCCATGCACAACACCCCCAAATTCGCATGGAAATGAATTGAGAGCATTTTCACATAGGTAGGTCGGTAGCCAATCTGTGTAGGGAGCTGGGTTCGAGGAACAGGTGTTTGAGCCATTAATAGTGTGGAAGCAAGTGGTTTGATGGTTGTCATTTCAACTCTCTCGTGCAATATTGCAATTAGAGTGCGACTCCTAAGTTACCCTGCAACACTCACACACCATATATTTATTCATCGTGGAAAGTGCATTTTATTACTATTAATAATTTACCCCTTACACAGACAACGGGGTAATTAGTGCACTTTCTGATGTTTCCGGTGTAATGAATAATTCGCATTCCGTATGAAAAATGCAACATTTGATAAACACGCAGTCAAAAATACAAGACAAAGTTACTGGTTCCAGCTCCACCTTCAATATTTGACCCGTTTTGTCAAAAACGCAGTCCAAAAAAAATGACATGATTGCGGCTACTGTGTGAAGACACAAAACAAAGTCAGCACGAGTTTTCGAGCTCGTGCTTGTGTCTGCTTCTTGCAGTGTGAACTGATTCGATGGGGGGAGGGGGGTGCCGCACTCTTCGCCGGTGATTGTGATGTGGTGTGTCACTGGCTCTGACCCCGAGCTCGGACCCTCTGAGAGCTGCATGGCATCGAACGGCAGATTGGGGTATTTGAACTCAGTGATCTAATTGAGTGTGCATGTCATATCAAACACTGTCTTCTTCCGAAATGACTCATAGGCCACGATGAGACAACGCCAAATAAACGACTAGGACGGCTAAAAGATGACGCCAAACAACAACAAAAATAACCACTTCACCTGCTGGGAAATGATTCGCATATATATATATATATATATATATATATA